CGGGCCCCCCCCCCCCCCCCCCCCCCCCCCGCGCTCAGAGCGGCTCAGATACTCGCCACGTCCCAGCAGGCGTTGTCCTTTTCTGCTGCATCATCGTCATTCCCCTGGCTCGGATTTACTTTGATTCTTTTTGGCTGTTGAAATAGGCACTAGCCAGCTACACGCCTTCTGGCTGTACCCTCAATTCCTCCTTTCTATTGAGAAAAAAAAAAAAGGTTCAGAAACGCCAAATAGTACATTACATTAATCTAGTTGGGTTTAGTCTGTTGCTCCGATGTCAGGAACGGGTTGAATTCTGTCGCTCTCTTCCAGAGCGCCCCGGGGCCTTTTTTGCTTGATGCCATCTATGTTTTAAGTGTACGCTCGCTATGCCATCATCCAACTTGCCAGTGAAAACACTGAGTAGGACTAGACTTGGGGCAGGACCTCATAGGAACGCTCGCTGTGACGCGCTCCCATTGCAACAGCGAAATGTTAACCACCGCTCTCCTTTGGAAGTGGTTTTTATTTCACGTAATTGTGTGTTTGGCAGACGTGTTCACTTAGGAAGTGTTTCTGTATCTTATCTCTGAGAATACTGTGTAAGCTAGTATCAGATTTTTGCTTAGGATACCTTATTTGTTATCTCTTTATCCATTAAACAGAAAGAAGGAAGTTTGGTTGTTTGGGTGGGTTTCTTTAATGGCCTTAGTTAGGATGCTTAGAAATTGATTAAAAGATTTGTCTTTAACTTTATTGTAAGTTTATGCACCTAAAACCTTGCACAGAAATGTATTCTCCATCTTTTGAAGAGGTATCATTGTAAGATGGGAGACTTTTAAGTGGAAAATTGAGATAACAAAAAGATACATTGGGATTAACATGTAACAATTATAGACAAAGCTACTCACATATGATAAAATTCGATTCTTTCCAGGAAACAATGCTCCAAAATCCATCGTCTTTTTTTTTTTTTTTTTTTTTTCTCTGAAACAAAGAGTGACTGTAAGGACTAATCTCATATGATATACCACCCATCTAAACTTGCAGGTTTCCTTTACTTATGTTAAATATCTGAGTTCCTAAGAAAGTTTCTGTTTCGCAGCCTCAACATACAATCTTCCATCAGTCTGTTCATTTGGGTTAAAAAGAATTCTGACAAGCTAACTTGGCCTGTTAGGTTTTTTATTAGCTATTCGGTACTAATTTTAAATTTGTGTAGTTCTGTGGTTGCGGTCTCATTTTTAGTAAGTTTTGGAGTCATCTCTATGTGTAGCTAGCAGTTTTTAAAAAAGATCATTTAAGCAGGAAGATTTTCAAAGTTTGTTTAAATGAGACAGAGCCTATCTTTCACCATGTTCATACTGAGAAAGAAGAGGGACAACTAACACACAGAAGACCATGGTATCCCATGATGTGGGCTTGATTTGAGTAATATTTAAATTCTTTCAAAACTTCCTGTCAAGTGAGCTATGCACTATTTTGAGTTGAGTGAACAGTATAATGTGAAAATTTTTCCCCTCATCTAGGAAGAAGTTGACCCATCCCTTCAAGCACTTGAATCTCGCCAAGAAGAGATCCTAAAACGCTTGTATGAACTGAAGAGCGCTGTTGATGGTCTCTCAAAGATGATACAAACTCCAGATGCTGACTTTGATGTAACTAACATCATTCAAACTGATGATCATTCTCCTCTGACAGCAAATGCAGATTTAGATTTGATGCTTGGAAGGGTAAGTTTAATTTAGCATATACAGTGATAGGGGTTTTTGTTTGTTTTTGTTTGTTTGGTTGGTTGGTTTTTTTTTCCCCCCTCAGATCTTCAGGGGTAAAAGGGCTGCATTAAAACTTGGGACATTCAAACTCAATATACAAGTCTTATATTCTTACAGATAACCTACAACTACCCATTTATTTTGGGCACCCAGATTATAAATCCAAGCTAGAATAGCTAACTTTGAAATTATGATAGCTGATTTCTTCTTTGTTACTGGAAATTTAATCTTTGCCTTCAAATTGGACTAGAATTTAGCCCAATCACATTCTGTATTCTAGAATTGTATTACTGTTGAGGAAGGAAGATGTTTAAGTAAATCTTGAATGTCGAAACTCGAATCGCGTATCATTAGAATTTCGGACACACACAAGCATGATTATACGTTTTGGTGTAAAATAAAAAATCCAGTCTTGAATGTTTCATCTGTAAATTTGTCCTATCTGCTAAAAGTTTTACTTTTCTTGCAGGATTATGGTGCCCTGAAAGATATTGTAATCAATGCAAATCCTGCTCTACCTCCGTTGTCATTATTAGTACTACACAGTCTGCTTTGTGAACGCTATAAAATATTATCAGCTGTTCATACACATTCATCGGTGAAGAGCGTGCCAGAAAACCTCTTGAAATGCTTTGGTGAGCAGACTAAGCGGCAGCCACGTCAGGAATATCAGTTGGGTTTTACTCTCATTTGGAAGGATGGTAAGAACGAACTTATCTTAGATTGTAGATGAATACTTCAAAACAGTTAAGAAAATGAAACTTGTGCTAGAAAACCTTGACAAACAGATGCATTGGTGTTTTTTGCTGACACATGATGAACACGTACTGCAGATAAAACACTTCTGCTCTTCTTGCAAGCATGAACTTTATTTTTTATAGCTGTGAACAGTGGTGTGGACATACAGGAGGAAGATTCTTGTTTATGGATCACTGCTGTTAAAATAAACCTAGTATTTGAAAGATGGTTGTTTGAAAAAACACTTCTATACAAAAACCTGTGGGTACAGTTTTTGCAAATAACTGAGCTTACCAGAATAGAAATTAGGTGGGAGTTTGGGCTGAAGTTTGCCACAAACGAGTTTTTTTTGTGCCAGGTGCCTGCCTTAGTCTAAATGCTTAGACTAAGAAAACTGAGAACAGGTCATCAGGTTAATGATGTTGCTGACATCACAAATAAGTGCATCGTTATGTTACCACTATTTCTGACGAATCTATTTCTGATTATGGTTTTGGGGTATCCAAAATACCCCAAATATTTTTATATTAATAAAATAAAATAGGTTAATATCTTTAAATTACTTTATTATTTATTATTTTTAACCTATTAAATAGGTTAATATTTTTTTTCTTTTATTTCAGTTCCGAAGCCCCAGATGAAGTTTAGCATTCAAACAATGTGCCCTATTGAAGGAGAGGGGAACATTGCTAGATTTCTCTTCTCTCTGCTTGGCCAGAAGTACAGTGCAGTTACTTCAACTCTGATTGACAGCTGGGTTGATACAGCCATCTTCCAGCTAAAAGAAGGTAGCACTAAAGAAAAAGGAGCGGTCTTACGCTCTATGAACACTGCCCTCGGCAAGACGTCTTGGTTGGTGGGAAATGAACTCACCGTAGCAGACATTGTCGCGTGGTGTGCACTTCAGCAGACAGGTAGTGCCAATGCTGCTCCAGCCAATGTGCAAAAATGGATGAAGTCATGTGAGAACTTGGCACCTTTCAGCTCTGTTATTAAGCTACTAAAGTAAGCATGTACTCTTTGTAATGGTGTAGTTTTAATGTTATTCCACCTTGTGCCTGCTGTAGTGGGTTGAGTCCCTTCTGAGATGCATTCAGGTACTACAGTTGGACAGAATTCTTAAACGAATAAAAACATTACAATTGTCTCTTGGGTGCAATCTTCCTTTTTTGTAACTGCAATGTGACAAGTGTGCTTATTTTAATGATTAAGAGGTATCTAACACAACCAACTAAATGTTGTATTTCTAACTTTTTCCTTACTCTGTTCTTCTCTGTAACTTGAAACGTTTGAGTATTTACACAAGTTAAATTGTACCATAGTGCAAGATGACTCCTTTTTACTGACTGGAGACCTATGACCTGAGGCAAAAGGAAGAATGGCTTTTACAAACAGACAGGACAACATGTACTGGAATATCTTTATGTAAAAAAGTTTTACATAATGTAATGTACAAGGGAGGTTACTTCTTACAGCTGACTGATACTTAAACTGGAGAACCAAGTCTCTTATGTTCCTCTTGTTCCTCAGAAAGCAATCTTATTTTTTCCTTCAGTTTTTCAATTTCTTCCTCTTGCTGTCTCACCTTCTGCTGTAGGTTACAAATAACCTGAAAGTGAAGGGCAGTTTTCATTTATATACACACATGGATAAAGCCTTGTTAATAAAAGCTGCGTGTATACAGGAGCGCAAACACGATGTGTTCTTTGGCACCACAGTTATTCTAGGTATTGGAAGTTACAGCATAATCCACAAACAAAAAAGCATGGCAAGGAAACTGAAAATCATAAAGAGATCCTGCAAAGCTGACAAAACTGTAAAAACAAACCAACCAACCAACCAACCCTCAATCTGTTTGTAAAGCAAGTGTCTGGTCTTACTTACTGTTATCTATACTTAATGGCCATTTACCTCCTTTTAGAGACCAGAAACAGTAATATAGTTGCCCAAATACAATAATCAGAAAAATAAAATCTCTCAATCACATAATCTACTTATTATTATTTTTAAAAAAAAAGGGAGGGTGGAAAGCAGCAGTGAGGGCATAATAGAGGCAAGGAAACTAAGGGGATCACTTCAAAGTAGTTCTCTATCTCATAAGAAGGGAGGTTATTGGCATAACTTACATGTTCTGTGGTATGAAACAGTTCACTTTCACGAAGCTGAGCAGCAGTTGGTCTTTGTGAAGATATCTTACTGGTTAGGAGTTTAATGTACTTGGCTTGAATAGGCCATTTTTTGTAGAAAGCATTAGGAATGTGGTCATTCCGTAAACGTGTGAGAACTTCTGTTCTTTCCATTTCTGTTCCAAATGGTTGGAAGAGTTCTAGCAGGATAACACCCATACTATACATGTCTGACTGGAAAAGGGGTGAAGGAAAAGTTCTGGGATAACTGATTCTTTAAATTTCTTTTAGATTTCTTTTTTCTCCTAAACATACAATATAATACAGACAATGACAAAGCTACTCACATTCAAATATCCATAGTTTCCTTAAGATGATCTTAGAAACATGAGCAATTTTTGCATTAGTAGCAAACTAGAAGGCAAAGTGGAAATCCACATTTCAGGGAAAAAAACATTAGAAGTACCAGTAGAAGTATTTACCAACTGTGATGTACTTACCTACTGAAAGACTTATGTTTCATTCCTATAATCTACCGTAAGTATGCCTTACAGAAACAAGTCATTGTTACATTTCAGTTTTACTTTCAGTCTTTCTTTTTAGAGGAATAGTGCTATTAACCTTAAGCATGTAACTTCTGAAAATTTACCTTTGAAGTTCCACAGACAGACATGGCATGTTACCCTAGACTATATCTGAATATCAGTGCCTAATCAGATAATATTTAATAGCATTTAAATGTGTTCATAGGAAAAAAAAAAAAATCCCTACCTTGAAATCATAGTGAGATCCCTGCAATTGTTCTGGTGAGGCATAGAGGCAAGTACCCACTCCTGAAGTATGCATCAGTCCTTCAAAAAGTCAATTTAGAGTTACTCAACTAGTGTTCCCATCTTACTTATAAACTAAATATTAATGTTTTTAATATCATAGAAACTTAAAACACTGAAACCTACTAAGCTTTTTTCTCTTACCGTTTATCCTTTTTGTCTCAAGCCAGCGGTCTGCATCATCCCGAAGAAGGTCTTTGCAGGCTAATCCAAAGTCTCCTATTTTGACATGATGATCTGATCCATATAGAAAGATATTTCTTGGCTGCAAGAGATAGTATAAATCTTAAATATCTCTATATAAAGATTACAAAATTTAGTTTAGCTGTTTCCAAATCTATACCATCCACTGTTTCAAATGGATAAGGCAATCAGTAATTACTTAACATTTTCATTAGTGAGATAAAAATAAATTCATAGACAATATCAAATTCTATGTTAGCAACACCTCTGGGCAAAAAGACCACATATGAAGGACCTAGGAAAAGGAGGAAAAGCACAATAGAAGCAGTATACAAATCAGTGGAAAGATAAACAAAGCACCTTTTTTTCCCTCCTCAGCCAGCAGGAAGTGGAAATTTGCACAACAGCAATGTCGAGAGAGACATCATGCAAGATAGGGCAGCTGTCCTGTTAGACCAACTGATAGAGCAGAAGGAAGGACTAAATAGTACTTGTGGCCTAGGCATAACGTAAAGCAAAATATACTTTTCTATATCACGAGCACAGCCACAACAAGTTCCTTGGCTCTAGGAAACTTATTATGAAAAAAGATCAAAGTGATGAAAGCACTGACTGAGGAAAAACTGAAATAGTTTTATCTATGTATTTTGGCTGTATGACCACTAAGAATGAGAAATATTAGCCTTATGTATCTAGAAAAAAGAAATACTCACTAGGTAGAATAAAAAGTAATATGAAATTACTATTTTTACTTAGTCTGTCTATCACCAAGTTGCTGAACTTAGGTACATCTGGATGAGAAGTGAAAGCTATATTTCTTAGTACAATTTTTTCTACTAAATACAAATTACAACTAGTAATAAAACAAAGGGAACGTAAGCTTCTATTTTCATTCTTAAGCTTTTGCTGGCTTTATAGTACTTTTTAAATGTTGCATTGAATAATGCAGTCATTTCAAAGCTATTCTAGAACCTGACACCCTACAACATCACAAAGAGTGACCCTGTTCCAAGAGGCCGATTCCAAATCTGCTATTTCTGATTATGTATTTTCATTACAAAAACTACAGTTCTCTTGCCTATGGGTAACATAACCAAGGGAGCCAGCAGACATGCCACTCCCTTCGTTTGCCCTCTGTTTTCCTGTGGGCAGAAGAACAATTCACACCTTGAACAGCTATATGAAGCAATAATGGAAGATGACAGTAGCACTATTAAAGTCTTACTCGCTGATTATCCTGTCAATGAACCACTGAGTGCTTGGAAGGACCCTTACATCACAGATCTGCTCTCCTTCCAGGTAACCACTTGATCAAGATTATCATTTATGTGATTAAGAATACTTCTGGATTAAGACATTTACTACATTTATTTAAAATGAAAAAATCATTAAGAATCATTAAATGGTTGCGATTTCTAAAAACGAGAGCCTGAAATCAAGCTCCTAAATCTTAGTAAAACATAAAAGAAGTCACTGAGCTTGCCAGCACAAATAAATATCACTTTGTGGAAAACCCAACATGGATCTCCAACCGATCAGTACAGAAGCCTTAAACATCTCATACTTCTTTGAAGAGGTCAATGGGCATATAGTCGAGAGCAATCCAGCTGAACCCATTTACTTGGATTTCAAAAAGATATTTGACAAGATCCTCTCTAAGCTCCTCAGTAAACAACTGCAGTGAGATGAGAGGGAAGGCCCCCACATGGATAAGTAACTGGTTTAAAGACACAAAAGAAAGGATAGGAATAAATGGTCACCTTTCACAGTGAAGGGTATCATCAACTGATTATGGTATGGATCTGTGCTGGGAACCATGCTGATCTACATATTTATACATGATTTAGAAAAGGCATAGTGAATAGCGAGATGATAAAGTTTGCTGACAGTACAGTATTACTCACAGCAGTAGAGATGAGGTCTGAATGCAAAGAACAGTAGAACTGCAAGCAGGCAGTTTAATAACAAAAGAAATCACTGCAAATAAACATGAAAACGCAGATGATCCATGAAGGAAAAAACAACCCCAATGTATAACAAATGTGTTGTTTCTGAATTGACTGTTACTGCTCAACCGCAGTAGATAGTTCTAAAAATGTGAACTTAATGCTCAGTACCGGTCCAAAAAGCATACTGAATGTTAGCAATCATTGCGGGGGGGGGGAGGGGGTAAAGCAGAAAACATCATCATGATACTATATGAATTCATGCACTGCCATCTTCAATACTGCATGCAGTTCTGAGCCTCCTATCTCAAGAAGAGTATGAGAGACCTGGAAAAAGGCACAGACATGGGTGACACAAACGCTCAAAATTTGGAAGAGCTTCTATTCAAGGAATCAGTATATAAAACATTTAACAAATTGTTAGGTTTGATAAGGATCTACTCAATCATACATGGAATGGAAAAGGTGAGCAGGGAACACTATGCACCGTCTCTTCCAAAAAATGAAATAGGTGACATCAAATTATTGCTGGCAACTCAAAAGTAACTCACTACATGCATCCTTACTCACTGCATAGTTAAACTGTGGAGATACTGCCACAGGCTGGCTGCTTAAAGTTCACTTGAGTTTAAAAAAATGACAAATTCTAGAAATATCCATAAATGGCTATTAAATGAGATGCTACATGCAGTTCAAGAAGTCTATTAGCCACAAATGGCTGAAGGGTGGCAAAATATTTTGGATCACTGCCTGCTCCTCATGATCTTACGTGCTTCCTGAAACCTTCAATATTGGCACCTATCTCAGATAGAATATTGCACCAGATCCTTACTCTGGCTTGATTTCCCATACAATTCGTGGAAGACACCAAATAGTTACACTTTATCAATCTTCCTTAATCCCATGCTGAATGAGAAAACTAGGAGCCTTTGCCTTAATATGACAACTATAAAAAAGAGCTGCAAAAATCACCTTCAAAAAACCCCCAGAAATTAGAAAAATGTACATCAGAAATACAATAACCAATACCTATAACTTGTTCCATTTTGTGCAGGATTATGCTAGCTCTCCAATTCACTTAGCTGCTAAGTACAGAAGAGAAAGGAGTTTGCAATGTTTGCTAGAATTGGGTGCTGATCCAAAAATAAGGTAGGGCCCACGAAGACGCTTACGCTGCATTCTATCGAGAATACATATACACGCATACTACCATTCAAAATGAATGTAATAAGCTCATTTGAGTATTAAGACTCTTTTCCTCAAGCTATAATGTAACCGAGTTAATACGGTGGAATCCCCTCTATTCACCATTTTGAATGTAAAGTTTAATTTTGTTTTATTCAATTAACATAAACAGAAACCACCAGCAGAAACAGTATCTGATAACGCAGCCACATAACACTAATCACTGTTGAATGCATTTCTTATGCTGCAAACTGCCTTGTCACAATAACAATAAAGAAGACATTCCCTAAGCTGAAAACAGAGTAAAAAGGGCAAGAATTAGTCCTAGCACTCGCTAAACTTTGCTGACTGGCAACGCAAACCTGGCTACAGATTTGTCCCGTAACCCACTATAATCCATACATGTAAAACCCCAAGCACAGCCAGGCTACGCCACAGCTGTGATGGACCTTCTGCCTGCCTTGTGTAGTTCTTAACACTCCTCCTGTGACCTTCACTCACCTGGAGCTGAACTGTGAAGTCTTATTTCTCACGCTATAAAACTGGGAAATAGAGGGTCTGCAGGCCGAACACCTTATGCACTCCTGCTGGGCACAGAGGGGCTGTGGTTAGCAAAAATAATTTAACAACCTCACTTTGGTTAGGTCATGGTAACTCATAAGATTTGTTCTAACAACTGAAGTTTTGGAACCTGCTACTACGTTACACCCTGCCAGTTCAGAAGGTTTAATCTAAGTAATCTTCAGCCTTTAAAATATGCCCCTGGAATATTTACTACATATAAGACACTTTGTTTACCTAATAAAAAGAAATTAACTTAAAACAATGCTTTATATTACAGAAATAACAGAGGCTATACAGCACTTCATCTTCTCCTACTGAATTTGCCTAGGACTTACACAGTTGGGACATCCATCTTGGGCAAACTCCAGATAAATCAACCAACTTTAAAACATAATACAGAAGAGTGTCTCTGTCCCTTGCACAAGGTAAAACATCAGATAAATCCTGAAACGAGTAATCACAAAAATGACAGTCTTCTACGTTTAGGCCAACAGTCTGAAGGCTTTCAAGCTATATCCATTCTTATAAAGCACGGGGCCAACATAGACGACATAGACAAGTTTGGCAGGACGGCTCTTCACATAGCTGCAGAGTCACTAGACGAATACGTAACAGCAACTCTAATCGCCTATGGAGCAAACATTAATTTTGCCAATCCAAACTGTGGAAGAACCGCCCTTCATCTTGCAGTGTGCACAGCATCATTTAAAGCAAGCAGAATTCTAGGTATCAACACAGATTGCATCTATTTACTATTAAACAACGGAGCCAAAGTAAATACTCAAGATCATGAAGGACGAACAGCTATTCATGACGCTTGCTCAGGTGGCAGAAAGGAAATAGTTGATCTTCTATTAGAGTATAAAGCAGACATGAACAGTTTAACAAGAGATGGACAGTCTCCGCTCTTTTCATTTCTTCAGCGCAGATCAAATTTAAAACATACGGCACTGTTGAACAAGTTGCTAGGACTTTCATACCCATTGAGGTTAAGAGACAATCAAGGACATCTACCTCCTGGACTTCTGTTCCCAGAATTTCAAACGCTGAAAGATGTTCTTATAAGTTTATCAAAGAAACTACTGTCTCTGCAGGACATCTGCATCCTCACTGTTAGAAGAATATATGGTGAAAAGAACAAGCGCTGGCTCAAAAACAAGCTTCCAGTAATTGTATGGAATTCTTTATTCAACTACCAAGACTTCTCAAAACTTTGGAAAATAAAGCCATGACGACACTATAAGCAGGAAAGTAAACTAAAAAAAATGTTGACCCTGAAACAGTCTGTGCAAAAATTAAAATTAATCCAGAATGCACACTAATGTTGTGTCTTTTGAAGTAATTCCAAAACTTCATACGTGGAGTTTTAACAATGAAGATGATTTTTTTTATACCAATTTCCTCATATAGCTATCATATCAGATGCAGAGAACCTTTGTAGAAAGTAGAGTAGGGAAATACACATTCAATCCCTTGCTATTTGAGTTTATCAGTTGAATTAGGGAAAGAAAAAGCAAGATATATTCTACTCATGATTATCATTCCAGCCAGCAGTAAGTCAGATTAGAGTATTTAAAAAACTATACAGGAACACATAAAGGCATCCCATTCTAATCCATTCCAGATGTCTTTTTCTAAGTTTGCGCTTCATTACCTTTTATAGGAACAAAACCAAACTTTTCATTCTTTCACTAAAACACACCTACAATTTCAGTTCCTTAGAGAAGCAGCAACCATTTTGAAAGAGAGCAACTATTTGCAGCTGGGGGGGGGGAGGTAAAAAACACAATTTCAACATATTTTCAAAAGCTAACTGATTTGCTGATTGAAGCATATTCAGGGGGCTCTTTACGATTATTTTTACAATTATTAAAAAAAAAAATCCGTTTATCCCTGTTTGGGACAAAAAAATGGCTTGACAATGGAGGAGACATTGTCAGAGCTTAATCAGAATTTACATTTAATTCAATGTAACTGAATAATTTATTTATAGCAAGGTTAAGTATGGTACTCGCACAGAGGAGAGAGCATATTTTTCGCACATAACGTAGCTAAATTCTTAAGTGCACAGGTTATCTCAAACTTAACTATGAAGTTGCTTTCATTCTCCCATAATTCAAGTTATCTTTGATCTGTTTAACCTCAAGTGATAATTTGATGAACTTACTTTAATGTCTCGATGCATCACTCCCATGCTGTGGATATAGTATACTCCTTCTAACAACTCTTGAAAAATTTTCATGGTCCAGCTGACATCCACCAGATGGTACGGACCTTAAAACAATTTGAAATCTAAATTATTTCAGCTGATTTTGCTGAGTTACTTTATATGTTTATGGTGGTATGTCTTGTTGGATTCAGTTTATTTATGGACTGGAAAGAGGGTTTTTTTAACAGAATGAGAATAGTTCAAAAACTGGAATCTCCCATGGTTCTCCTAAGAGTATTTTGAAACAGCAAAGAGTCACTAAGCAAAAAAACTCAAAAGAGGACAGTTATGGGACCTGAACACACATCTGCCTCAAAGATTTCTTCAACCCCCTGTCAAGATAGTTACTTGATTATGACTTCTAACAACCACAGGCTCTAAAATAACTACCCTCACTACCTCTACGTTTGGCTCTCTTGAATCCTGCTAGGCGTCAATGATAACTGACAGTAGTGGTTTCCATAAACTAATCACATATTTTGTAAAATTGTACCATTTCTGTCAGACTGAGAGAGCCTGTGAATTTGATTAAAAATGAATAAATAAAAACTATTCCCATCACTCTCACAGGGGATCCAGAGCGATATGTAAAAACTAAAAGCAAGAAAACATCAGGTTACTTTTTGTCTTATAAAATAAATCCAAGTGTTTAAAAATCATGAAAAAAATATGACTAAATCTCTTGCACGCTGTAAAACACTGATGGACTCTTATTACCATGTGTGTCTGAGCACGGTGTCAGAGAGGACTAACATCTGATTACTATTCACCGTACACCTCCAGGTCTACTTCCACCTCCCTCCTTTCTTACCAAAATAATCTCAACCTTTGCTGCTGTTTCTCATTCAAAAATCTGTTTTCCACTTAGTCTCCTTCTACTGTCTTTTTCCAACTCTTCACTTCTATGTAGGTGTTGAATTAGATGGGAAAATGCAATTCCAGACTAATTTGCATGATGACATGCTTTCTGTATTAATTTGCACCCCCCTCCTTTTTGGATCCAAATCCTTCTACTGTTGTGCTACCCTCTGAAATTCCCAAATCTTCTCTAGCTCTCCTAATTCACCTGCAAACTTACCATTTCCTTGTTTTTACCATTTCACAAACCATTCTATTAAACTATGCTACTTTTCACTCTAAAGACCCAGACCTATCATAGTCCGTTGCCATTCTGAACACTCACCTTTTGGTACCTACTTGGACCTGGGAGTCCTGGTGGACAACAAGTTAAGCATGAGCCAGCAGTGTGCCCTGGTGGCCAAGAAGGCCAACGGTCTCCTGGGCTGCATTAGAAAGAGCGTTGCCAGCAGGTCAAGGGAGGTGATCCTGCCCCTCTACTCAGCCCTGGGGAGGCCTCACCTGGAGTACTGTGTCCAGTTGTGGGCTCCCCAGTACAAGAGAGACATGGCGCTCCTGGAGCGAGACCAGCGAAGGGCAACCAAGATGATGAAGGGACTGGAGCACCTCTCCTACGAGGAAAGGCTGAGAGAGCTGGGACTGCTCAGCCTGGAGAAGAGAAGGCTCAGGGCGGGGGGGGAGGGGTGTCTGATCAATGTATATAAGTATCTGAAGGGAGGGTGTCAAGAGGATGGGGCCAGGCTCTTCTCCGTGGTGCCCAGTGACCAGACAAGAGGCAACGGGCAGAAACTGACACGCATGAAGTTTTCGTCTGAACACGAGTTAAAACTTCTTCACTGTGAGGGTGACTGAGCACTGGAACAGGTTGCCCAGAGAGGTCGTGGAGTCTCCTTCTCTGGAGATATTCAAAAGCCATCTGGACACAATCCTGGCTAATGCGCTCTAGGTGACCATGCTTGAGCAGGGGGGTTGGACTAGATGATCTCCAGAGGCCCCTTCCAACCTCAACCATTCTGTGATTCTGTTTCTTAATGTCTAATATAGTATTTACGTTTCCTCTCATGATGCCTACGGAAAGTATTCGAAAATGGCGTTTTATAACCCTAGTGATTCCTTCAGTCCCTGACCAGGCACATCATCTCTTAAGTTTATAAAAACTAAAAAGACTAGGAGTACAGGAGAGATGAGTGGAAGCCGTCTGATAGGGGAAAACCAGTTTAGCTGGTAAATCTCATTCCATGACTGAACACAACAGTTTCATCCTAATATGACTGAATATTAAAGACATACTTTTGTGTTACAGTTTACGCCTTACAATCTGTTAAGCATACACATTTTTGTTCAAGCACCATAGAGAAAAGAATATCTCTCTAACACTTTAATAGACCTGTTCTTCCAGATGTCAACGATTACTGAAGATGGCTTGGTACCTCAAGACCTAAGAACTCCTCCAGCCTCTCAAACAAAGTAAAGCTTAGATCCTGCAGACCAATGCGAATAAGCCCGGGTAGTGGTTTTGATTCTTAGGAACAAACTTGAAAGCTTTAAAGTATGTTATAGCCTCTCCGGAAGAAAGGACGTGTTTATATTTTCCACAACAGATAAATTAGCTTGTGCTGATCTCTATTTTGCAGCAGCTAGACTACTACCAAAGCAAAATCTCAAATGTATAAACAGCTTACTGAGAAAAAGTAGATCTCAATTAAAATTCTACTCCAAATAAGTCATATCACCCAGGCACAGATCCCTTCAGGTAACACCGATGCCTCAGGCATATATTTGTTCTTTTTTGGAGAGTTGTCTAAAATGCATGAACCTAAATCTCTTTTACCAACACCTGTTACATAAAGATCCCATACTCTTCACTCTAGCAGCTATTTCATTAACTGAAAGAAGAATATAATTATCAAGATCCATATTATAAACTGCTGCAGCAAAAACATAAAATCAGGTAAGTGGACTTACAATTAGGAAAAAAAAGTGTTTGCTTCATATTGAATTAGTAAATCTTAAAAATAGTGATGAATCTTACTGTAAGTTTCCCCTGTTCTCTCGCCGCATCTCTTATTACGGTCAACAATCCAGTCCCACAAGGAGATTTCACACAGCTGCATTTGAATATAAAGCATCAATCGATACTCCACCTAACAGAAAAATATTGGTCCATGATTTTGCCACTGTAATATAAGCAGTATTTCCTTATGCATTTTCTGTAAAGCTAATAAAAACAAAATTTAGTTTTTAAACGAAAAATCAGGTACCGAACGGACAGTAAATACAGTATTACTAATCTACTGCATTTAAGAAGCAGGTGCAACACTACGTTGTTTCAGCTTTCGGCTTTTTCCTCAAATGTTAACAATTGTTTATAAAGCTTATGATAAAAGCTAACGAAACAAGATTTTTTTAAGATTCAAATGAGAGCTAAAGACTATTTTTGTTCTTTTTTTCCAGACATACTGAACAGAGATGCATTCTGACTTACAAAAACAAGGTAAATTAATATAAAATACTAAAAAATTTCAACCTCTTGACATGCATTTTATGATTTATTAGCATGATTATGTGACTTTGTTTATGATAATGTATTGGTTCATTTGATAATCAGACAACTGCAGCGAACATCTTTGAAATCTGGGATTTCTGCAAGAGGGAACTCCAAATGATAGCAAAAGCTTGAAACGTTCCAGAGCTGGCTATGTTATACAAAATAATTCAGTAGTATAAATACCAACAAAGTCCTAGAAGCATAAGCAGAGCGGTGATTCCCTGGCCCGTTCCTGCTTCCCTCTCTTTTAGAAGTAACACCAACTGAGAGAAGTTTAATCTTACGCTCTATAGGCAGCACGTTACATACCTAGATGCTTTAATAATATCTGGGTTAGCCATCATTACTGAATGTGGAAGATTTTCAAGTTCAATGATATTTTATGCAAGCGTGCACGGTATTTTTTATTCATACAGGGACCTTGAAAGAACGCAAGATGACAAATACACAGAGACCTTTCTTGTATGATGAATTTTGGCAGGTCCTCTGGTCAGCTTCCCTGCAATAGTCATATCCACTTAAAGCAAGATTTTTCTATATTTTTGGCTCTAATCCCAGTCATTTCATTTATAAAATTTATTATTATAAATCATTCCTATGTCTACCTAACTCTACTTTGCAAACATCATCAGATAAGACAGCAGTAAATATATTTAAAGAGAACTCCATTTACCTCAAACTCTCCACATAAAGCTACATCCTTCTGAGATTTTTCTTCAGTGCAGGACTTGCTCTCAGAGCTACTATCTTTATCCAGACCAGAATGAGGTCCACACGAGGAATGATCTTTAAAATCATGTGATCTACTTTCAACATTACTTGTAGAGTCTTCTTGTAATTCATATTTATTTGGTTTTGAATATTCTTTACCATTGCTGTTAGTAAAATCATTCCTTACATCCATACTCTGCACTGATTCATTATCCAGATTTTTAAGACGGGTACTTTCATGGGACTTCTTTTCTTGTGAGGTAAGGTCAGCAAAGATAATTGAACTATCACTTTCCACACTCTGAATGTGACAGTGATCACTGAAAAGAATAAAGTAAGGGACAGAAATCAAAATACGTACAGTTTTATACCATCTATTTGTGATATGGGGTTCTCAAAACTTCTTTTATTTTTTTTCCTGCAAAATGCATTCCAGAGAAAAAGTTCAGCTGCTTCCCCATATAAAACTTAATGATTACATAATCAGCAGCATAGGCTTCAGCCTTTCTAACAACTTTGCCCAGCACAGATTTTTGACAGTTGACACAGACAGCTCACAGACACGTAACAAGCCTAGGTCGCAGTATTCACTGAGCAGAAGTATGATGCATCTCGTCTTCCTTCCAGTTAGTAAACCTATAATGTTCCCCCTTGGACTCAATCGCCTTACTAAAATAGCTAATCTATATTTTTCTGAGATACAGAGAGCCCTCATCTTTCTAGTAAGAAACTCCATCTAAAAAAAAACTCTAGAGCTGTTAACAACTGTTGGTGAATAGCATCAAACTTTTGAAGTAAGCTTGAAGCCCAGCACTACAGTCAGGCACCCAGAAATCCAAAGATCTAAACAAGATAGAAGTATCAGACAATATTCCTCAGCTCGTGTAACCGAAAGGAAAAACAATGGTAAGGATAATTAACACTTACATGGTTATAATTTGGAAGTAAACAGCAGTTTTGTAAATACATGCTGAATTCTGTAATCTTTTACTGTTATTCAAAAACAAGTCTCATGTTAAGGTCAAATAAACGTTGTCATTGAAGTTTGTAATACTTACTTGCCACTCTCTTGTTCCAAAGATAACGACTGCAAGTTCACTATTGCTTTATCTATTGGATGAAAAGATAAACATGGTGTTTCACAAAACAAAGCAGGCACGCGTTTACTACCAATGAACATTTAAGCTATAGCATCTTACTAACTTACAATTTCAGTATCTGTAAATATCTGTCTCGATTTTTGAAGCTGCACAAGGCATTTCTTATTCTACTAAGCAACTCTGCCTAGTTTGTTTTTCATTTCTTTTTCCATGAAATAAGAAAATACATGTTGTGAAGAGATCACTGAAAGCATTGTCCTGGGCTCTTTTATACATTTATCCAGACTTCACTTTTAAGAAGTTAGCCATTTCAAAATCAGGGCTTATAACGTACATAACAATACACAGGGTTAAAGTAGTAGCTACATAAGGCACGACCCTTGGTGTCAACCTGCCACTGTTTCGGAAGTACCTGATATTTTGCAAGTAATTTTCATTAAAACTGTGCATTTATGTGAAAAAGACAGCAGCGTGGTTTAGCACACATACAAGTTTCAGAAGCAAAGATAAAATAACCCATTTTGTAACCTAAAGGAAACCATAAGTACCACAAGACCGAACCATATTTCTAGTTAGGTACCTGCATTATCAGTACTAAATGCTTGTGAATTACTTCTAGAACTAAACAGTTATATCCTTCAACATTCTCAGTATCAGAGTAAAAGCCTTGTCTATTTTACTATATTACCAACTTCCTATGCATTTCCTTTTGTGCTCAGAGCAGACTGAGGGAGTCAAGTGAATGACGTGGGAAGCAATGAAGCCATATACAGGATAAGCAAACCTCCCACTAAGAGGGGATAAAAGATTTAGTTACTAAAGACTTCCATAAGAGGACAGGAAAGAAAGGGACCAACAGATTAGGATTAGAAAGGGACCAAAGGACAGTGTGGGAAGGGCTGAGAAAAAGAGAAACTGGAGAGAGAAAAGCGGGCAGGAAAGAAGATGCACAATGAAGATAAAAACAGATGAATTCCAAATTCTGAACAGTTACAGGCAGTAGCTGATATCCCCCCTCCCACCCTCACCCCCAAAAAAGAGATTGCTCTATCACTGCAGAACTATAAAACTAAATTCATCAGTATTTTAAAAACTCTCTTGTGGAAAACACAACAGGAAGGGGGGTTTTTTGCCATTAAATTATTTGCAGGTTCTTTCAGTTTTTCTACACTGCTTTCTAAAATGTTCCGAGATAAATAAGAGGAGGAGCATAGCGGGAGGTCTATCCTAGCTCCGTCACAGCTTTGAAATTTCAAAACACGTTGGCAAACGCGTGGATTTTTTTTCTCTACTATTCGTTATACAGCACTTTCCTCCCATACATCTGAAGTAGTTTGTTCCTCGGTATTCATTCTTCTCCTAGTCAACTCACTACCACCTGCATTAAAGTTTTTCATTGAATTCCACTGAATTTCACACAATTTTGAAATCCTCTTCAAATATTAGCAAAAGTGAAGCTCACACTTTCACACTTCCACATTCATCACTACTAGAGACTGAGGTGCACAAAGGAACATCAAGACCTGGTGTTCATTTCTAGTTTGTTTTTTGTTTGTATATTTTAAGGAGGAAAAACAGTTACTTTAATCAAAGAAGTTAATATTCTCCTGCAAATTAACAGTATAGCTATTATAAGCCACATGCAAGAATTATACAATATGCTGTACTTCCCTTTTGGACATACTAACTGAATATGTTCCATCCAAGCAGTGTGATAGCCTACAATATTAGGATGCTGCAGCCCAGCCAGCACTTTAACTTCTCGTAGTACCTAAAAAAACGACCAAGAAGAAAGAACATGATCGTCCTTTATTTTGAGTGCTTGGTAAACCCAAGAGCTAACAAAATATAGTAGTTTCCTAGAGAGAAAGAACAGATACAATCACTAGAACAAAGGAAGAAATTTGGAAGCTTTAAGACAAATAATGATTTTATAGCTGCAGAGATGATCAAATGCAAGCTAATGATATGCTTTTTTTTAATGGACTTAAATATCTCTCAATTACTCTTTTCTACTAGATACAGTTAGGATTAAATATTTAGAAACTCAGAATACACTTTATGGAAAACAATTGTTGCATGTAATATTTTGGGAAACGTTAACTGTATTACTAAATACAGCACACAGTTACAGCACACAGGGAGTTAGAAAGAGATGATTGACAGGAAAAATAATACCTTCATGCAGTCTCTTCTTGTAGCCTTCTTAATGTTAATTCTTTTAATAGCATAGGACTGACCATCTAATTTGTTTCTCACCTGAACACAATCGTAAAAGGACAAAATTAGAATTTAATGCATTTAAATTAATGTGTTATTAAATCCTCTAGAATCAACTATTTTCTAAAAATTAAATTCTGCGCTCTGTTCAGGTAACCTTTCACCCACATCAGAGAGGGAATCTGGGATTAGACCCTAGCTATCTAAGAGATGGACACTCTGCTTTATTTCAGGAGTGTAACACCTAATCCAATCTCCAGGAAATACAAAACTCTACACCTATCTTTCCACCAATAAAAAAAAAAAATGCTGTCCATATTGATTTCCAGCTCTAATTCAGAGATCAGTCCAAATATCCTGACTAGCAATAGGTTGACAAATTCAACATCACACCCAAATGTTCTAGAACATCAGCAAACAACCAAATATATGCGTTATGATTCAAAACTGAGTAATCTTACATATTCTAACAGTTTAGAGATATGAAATATATACTCACTATAATAACATTGTTGACTGAAAAAGGAAAGAGCTTCCTTCTTCTGAAAAGAAAGTCCTAATAATCACCCACACACTCATCTAATGCTAGCAAGTCCTTGTAACTGCTTAATCAGGTTCTCAAAAAAATCTTTGAGACAACAACCGCCATTTACATATGGCGCTTACCATATGGGGAACCTTAAGTTGTCCCTATACTACAAGTATTTAGTACAATTCATCATTGCGTTAGACAGCTTACATTCAAATTAACGCTGCTTTCTTTTTAAGCAGCCACAACCAGAACGTGGGGGTGCGGGCACTAACCAGTTTCTGTCACTATTTTAAGTCAATATATCAGAATATTTCATATGAGAACTAAGAGTTGAAATTCACTGTCTAAGGGTCAAATTACACACAAGCAAAATATGCTATATTTCCTGCTACTTTAAACAGAAAACAGAAACCATCATCAAGCATCTTTTGAAGCAAAACCCCAAAATCCCTTAGATGTACAGCTTTGCAACTATTCTATTGGATAATGCATATTTTAATTTTTCTATTAGGAAAAAAACAGTCAAATCAATAATCCTAAAGTTAAAGAAACACTAGTTACTAACAGATTAGTTATAAATGGAGGGTAAAGAATACCTTGTATACTTTACCATATCCTCCTTTTCCTAGCCTTGCAATCTCATCAAATTCATTCAAGTATCGTGAAGTCTGTGATTCAAAGAGAACTTCTTTTCCCCTAATCAAAAAAGTTAGGCTACATTAAGCCAAATTACAACTTTAAGTAAGGTACTGTATAAGCTACAAGCATAGACAACTTAGAAGTATTTACACTATGAAAAAAAGAAAAATATTTTGACAGTGTTACAGTGAATACCAGCAGACTCAACAACAGCATGCACATGGGCAGTTACTGCGAGAGTAATTTAGGTGCTACAAATCCATGCCCCAGGTTAATCTACATGTTAAAACGATTTCTTTAAGTTTATGCCTGGTCTTGTATGGTCCCACTAACCATGAGATTTGTATTCAAGAAGGAGTTTTCCCTAGGTCACACTGACAGAGTTCAGAGAAATTTTCACTTCTGTTCTACGTTTCATACATAAAATATGAAATGCAGTCTTCGTTAAATTCACAGTGGATAGAACTGATTATTTATGGAGCACAGAACTTCAGAGAGGGAGTTATCTTTAATACCTACTAAACACTTCCGATACATACCCGATTGCATGAGAATCTCCATCATCAAGCTCCTATGAAACAACAAAATCCAACATAAAAACATGGCACGCAGAGTAATAGGTCTTCCACGCCATAACTATGAGCAGTAGCACAAACAGCTTAATCAAAACAATCAGAACAGAAACTACAGCTATGTTCTTAGAAGCAAATGAGGTTACAGATTCACTCTGCACAGAGCGCCAAATTAAAGTATTATTATCCCACCAGTAATCTGCTAACATCTCTCTACTGGAGAGATTATTGCCCTTTAGAGTCCTGTCAGTGAAAAGATATGAGGGCACTAAAATGTGCTTAAGACAAAATTAACTAGCTTAGCTCCAACAGCTGATGAGCAAACTGGTCTGATTCAGCCTGAAGCACATTAAGCAGTGCACAAATTATGCCCTTCACTAATATAAATACGAGGATGTTAACATAATCAACTGGAACAGTTAGAGTTGGAAAGGGATGCGTGTCCACTGTCTCAAGAACTGCCGCAATACTTAAAACATTTTGCCTGTGTTTTAAAATATACACATACATAATTTAATAAGGAATAAAATACTGCTGGTTTCAAAGGCTTTGGTTTGCACCCTTCAGTCCAGAACCTTCCCTCACACCAGCCCCGAGAGCCAAGTTAGAATTGAAGCACCATTTGGTATAGTTATTGAAATACTCAATCCAATATTACAAGAATTCCAAAGCAAAAGCTGCTTTGGACACACTGATGTGTTAATTCCTTAACACAAAACTTGCCAAAGAAATTTAAAGCTTACCCCATTAAGTATTTGTCGATTAGCTGCTTTCATTAGTTCAGTAATGGCTCTATTATGCTGCAATCTTACAGTACTAAATTCATCACAGAAAGCAAAAGGAGAGAGGAACCCTGTTCTTGTGAAAGCCTGACGAAGTACTGTACAAAGGAATAGAAAAAGGTCACTTTAAAGAAAGTCTGCCAGTAAGACCGTGCAAACAAGTCTTCTTTTTAAATGAGAAAACTTTATTTGAAAGCATGTCTGGAAAACTGCATGTTCAGTCACTTCTACTCCAATGCCTTTTCCCACACTTCTTGCAATCAAAACTAATTAAATCCAAACTAGAGCTACTCTTGTGCTTGGCAATCTCCTTTACTTTTGCATAATATAGTTATTTGCTACCCCCTTCATCGTCAAAACTGCATCTCCTCTTCTTCTTACCTTGGCAGATAAATTATACAGATATCTACCCATTCACTTACTTGTTTCCCTTGAACTAATTTTACTCAGTGAAAAGATAAATTCAAAGCATGCTCACAATTATGAGGACACATGCTTCTAGTAAAAAGCAGTAGTGTCTTTTAAATTCTGCTAATTCACATATGAGCTCACATTCATGCACACCATAAAGAATAAAGTCAGCTTTTTTTTTTTTTCCCTCAAAGCAGCACATCATTCTCAGCTTGAGAAAAACAAACCTATGGCTAATAGAAAAATAACAAATACTGAAGACAGGTGAAATTGTGAAGAAGCTATAAAAACGTACTTAAAAGCTAAGGTCTTAAAACAGACTTGTAAGGATTGTTGCAGATGTTTCCTTAGAACCAGTATTTCAAAACCAGTCTATTACTTTATTCTTCAGTAAACACAAAATTTATTGAAAATAAACTTATAAGAAATCAGTGGTTTTTGCTATACAAGACTTATGGACACAATTATGTACACCAGAAGAGCGGGGGAAAAAAACCCACGCCACCATGAACATGCTAGCCCAAACTACAAAACTGATAGGGTTACAATCAATATAATCAAGCAATATAGTGGGGTTTTTTTATTATTATTATTAATGTGGTTAATTCTGCTTAGGAAACTGCTTGAAGCTATGCCAACAGAGGAACAACATCCTCTACAGAAGTAAACTGGGCAGCCAAGCAGCTGCACAGCACAGAAGGTGCCCGAGCTGGACCCAGACCCATCACTATGTGGAGCACTAGGGTGAACACGCCTTGCCAAGGCCCTTGGGCCAGTCTAGGCTAACCTGCTAGGTAATTTAGTTCAGTTCTTTTTAAATTTTATTTCTAAGTATTCTTTTTTTTTCTCTCCAATTCCTTTCTTCCTCCTCCCTCCTTCCTCTCAATTCTTTTTTTTTTTTTAATTATTATTTCACTTTTTGGACATTTAATATATAGATACAGGGCATCAACATAGGTCAGTCTATACCTTTATAGAGCACCTAGATATAGGGTATCAGTATAGGCCAAGTTTACTTAACTTATAGGGTTAAAAATGAAGTTTTCTTTGTCTAATATTATTTATTTAACATATCATAATGTAAGTAGGTATAGAGATATCTGTGTAGTGTTTCTACATGGTAAAAATCTAGTATCCTGTACTTTTTAAAATTTTTTCTGCTCCCTTCTAATTCCTTTTTTTTTTTTTAATTTGATTATTTTACTTTTTGACAGAGAGTAGATAGATATAGGATATCAGTATAAGTCAGCCTATACCTTTACAGAATTAAATTTTTTTTTTTTCTTAAGTATTATTTAACATACCAAAGTAGGTAATTGTAGGGATATTAGTATAGTGCTTCTATACGGTAAATATCCAGTGCTCTTTCCTCCAGTCCTTTTTTTTTTTTTTTAAATACTTTTCTTTTTGACAGAGAGTAGATAGATATAGGATATCAGTATAAGTCAGCCTATACCTTTACAGAATTAAATTTTTTTTTTTTCTTAAGTATTATTTAACATACCAAAGTAGGTAATTGTAGGGATATTAGTATAGTGCTTCTATACGGTAAATATCCAGTGCTCTTTCCTCCAGTCCTTTTTTTTTTTTTTTAAATACTTTTCCTTAATCTATGATAAAGTAGGTAAGTGTCAGTATATCAGCATAGGTCAACCTTACCTTTCTAGCATAAACTTTCATTTATAGGGTAAAAATCCAACTCCCCCAATCCAATTTTTCCTTTTTAATATTTTACTTCTCTTGACCCATCATGAAGTAGACAGGTATAAGGATAGGGATATAGCTTGTCTTGTACCTTTCCAGGTGTAGACCAACTTAGGCCTTTATAGGGTGACTTACACTTACATTATCATTTGTACACTTACGTTATCACTTATAGAGATATAGTAAGACTCAAGGCAGAACAGCTACGTGAGATTTGCTCAAGAAGGAAGAGATGACAGTTGTCTGCACTGCTCTGACTGGACACTACACAGGGTTTCACTTGTAAGTACGAATAATATATTAGATCTGATTTTATTTTCTAGAATTCTATATACCAAGAAAGAAAGAAAAAAAAGATAATGCAAATGCATTATGTATATACTTAATCAAATAAAATACCTAAAATAAGTCACATACCCCAAAGACAGACTTCCAAATAAATACCTCACACCTAAGAAAGCAGGCTCACAGCGTTATATCAAAAGATTTTCCTGGAAATAAAGGACTTTCAAAAGTATCTACTCTGACAGTCACAGAACATACTTTTGAAAGATGTATTGAAAATTATGCCACAACTATTTCTTGAAAACACTTTTATTAGATTCCTCTCTTCCATCTGTGTTTTTAGGTCGGATTTAACGTATCCGCCTAGCGTCGTCTTTTACTCAAGTTAACCTTTTACCCTTCCTGTGATAGATCTGCCATGACTTAGCTGGAACAGAACTGCCTGCTCCTGGTAGCTACAAAGCCATTCAGTTACTCTTTTGCAAAGTAACACAGGTCCTCATTCCCACTCAAGCCGATTGAGGGTATGCACCCTCGTCTTAGAATTACTCTCGTCCCCGCAGGGTGAACCCTGCAACTTTTTTATGCCATTGCACGGCAGCTCTGCACAGACGGCTCACGAGGGCATACAGGACAAGGAGGTGGTTCAAGAGGCAGGAAAGCGCTGCTCTTACTGACTTCGGAACAAGCAGCGCGAGTGCACGGGGTTGTGGGTGTACATGTGGCAGAGGTGCTCCAGCAGCGACACCAGCAGCAGCTGGTTTTGAATGGTGGAGGTGAAATTCAGGAACTTTTGCGA